TGTATTTAATGTCGTAGAACAAAACGTCAATTACCTCTTAAATTTGTGTCAACCACAGACCTTATTTCGAGCTATTTCCAAAACCCTATGGAAAAAATGCATTGCTTTTTGAGGAAGGAACCGGAAGTGCTAAAAATGCTAACTTACTTCCGGGTTTTACGACGCGTCACTGATCAATTAAGGAGGATTTATTTGGGGACTTAATGTTAGGATGAGTAGGACTGTCTATAATCTGAGTAACATTCAGAGAGATACAAAGGTTTTTAAAATCCTCTGAAACAGAATTTAACCAGTCCCAATTAAAATCACCAAGCAGCAGTATTTCCTTGAAGTCAAGTTGAGATAAAAGTTTTGCAAATGAAGATAAAGAGTCTGAGGGGGGTCTGTAGCGGCCCACCACCATGACCTGTTGACCCTTTGCTACTTCGATATTTAAGGCTAAACATTCTAGTTGTTTACTAATAGATTTGGAAACCATCTTGGTTAAACAAAACTTATTTTTCACATAAATGGCAACGCCACAACCTTTTTTAGGACGGTCGGTACGATATACACTATAACCATTTAAGTAGATGTCAGAGGCCAAAATTGATTTATCTAGCCACATTTCTGATAAGACAATGACATCAGCATCAGTCGAGCTCGTCCAAATGCGGACAAAATCTAACTTAGGTAACAGACTGCGCACATTTAAGTGAATTAATCCCAACCCAGATCTAGAATTAAAATCAGCAGGAGTAGCTATCTGACTACTACTGCTACTGGGCGGTCCAGGGTTTAGTTGTACATTCCCTGATAGTAATAATAGCAAAAAAAACTGAACCTTTTCCTCTTAACCGACACACATCTGCTATTGTCATCTGCTTTAAAGTCACCAGCAAACTCCGCCAAAGTGAGATTAGAGCTCAAGAAGCAGTCCTGAAGAACCATCATAGCAGGCAAGTGAGAAAGACAAACATTTGTCGAACTGAACGTCTGTGAAAAGGCAACCAGTAATTGTTTATCGCAATAACATTAATCGAGCACTATCTGATCCTACAGTGGTGACTAGGGATGGGTACCGAGCCCCGGTATTAAACGGCCCCGGGGCTGAATTATTAAAGACAGTGGTACCGTTAAGCTCCGACGTTATCGGTCTTTTTATCGGTACTGGAGACATGTAAAAAATATGTCGTATGTATTATTGCTACACAAACATTATATTGCAGTTTTAGTGTCGCCAACTCCGTTTCTAATACGCAAAATGCGTCTATAATTATTTTTAGTATTTTCGATCTTTCCAATCCAGATGAGACATCTCTCTCCCCCGCCTGCTTGCGAGGGGGCGGGGCAGTTTACACACACACAGCTGCCACACACACAGACAGACAGACAGACAGACAGACAGACAGACAGACAGACAGACAGACAGACAGACAGACAGACAGACAGACAGACAGACAGACGGAGGAGATGGCGGAGAGAACGCGCTCCGAGGTGTGGTTAAACTTTACCCGTCTCGATGTGGACAATGCTCGTTACCAAAAGTGCAATAAGAGTTTAGCATGTAAGGGCGCACGAGCAATTTGTCTAAACGTTTAGCAAAAGTGCACCACATTCAGACGGAGAAATGCACCGGGTTCGACTGTCTTTCTAGTAGCTCTGTAGCCCCATCCACGAGTAACGTTTCCACGTCAGGTGTTATGTATGCTAGCAGCAACACACAGAGCTACATTATACAAACATGGGTTAACTGAGTTATTTATTTTGTTAAAGTTTGAGCTATTCTGTTTACAATTCTGTCAGATTATTTAATACGATTTGTTAAAACACTGTGAAATGTTATGTATTTCATTTAAATAAAAAGCAATGTTCCTTTTGTTCACAATTTGTTTAGTTAGTTTACCTCGTTTTTTTCTTTCCAAAATAACCGATAAAAGTACAGTTAAAAGACCGGATCGATAAGCGGTATCGATAAAAGTAGTAGTACCGTTAAAACCTTAACGATACCCATCCCTACTTATAAGGCTATTTGTTTGAAAAAAGATATCCAAATTATGCTTTGGTTCAAACTACACCTGCTCTCAAAGGGTTAAAAGTAGAGGTTGTCAGTTGATTATTGATGTGACATGTCAGCCGCAGAATATTGAGTTTTTCTTGTATCAAATCATCATCTTTTGTGATTAACCTTGCATCAGGGTTAGGGTTAGAGGGTTAGTAATACAGCAGACCTTTCTATTGACAACATTACTCTAGAGCGCCACTTGTGTACAAACACATACACTTCAGATTCCCTTTAACTAAAGCAGTGAAGTATCTCCAGCCTGTAGATTGAGTGTGTACTATCTTCTCTCCATCCCAGGTTTTTCTTGGACATAGCCTCTGACTCTCCGCCCAGCGACTCTGTGAACCACAGCCTGTCCTTCATCAGCGACGGCAATGTGCTGGCCCTCCACCGCCTGCTGTGGAACAACCAAGAGAGGATTGGCCAGTATCTCTCCAGTAACAGGTCAGGATAAAGGACTGTATGAAACACAACTGCTGAGTTCTATGATTAAAAAAAAAAAAAAGGGTATGTCTCAATTTACATACTTCTGTATATACATTTGCTTATTTGAGTGCATCCCAATGCGAAGTAAGGCTCATAACGATCATAGGGTTGAGTGTAGAGTGCTCTGGAACGCTGGAGCATGGATGTATAAAGAGAACTGGATACAACGTTGATACAGCATTCCTTTGAAAGTTGCTCAGTGGCACATGAAGCCAAAATGGCCTTAATGTTGAGGGCAAAAGTACCCGTAAGTGGGACCATAGAGTGCGCACTTGAGTTTTCTTTCAGCCCCGCCTACAACCATCACTGCAGTTTCTGCTCAGTCAAATGAATGGCAAAGAACTCTGGATTAAGCTTTTACAGGATTGTACAACTTTTAATGATTTAAAGATCTATTCAAGTGTTCGTAGTAGTTGATTTAGGTTTCAAAATAATTCTGCTGATTTACAGACATCTCTTTCCTACGGAAGAGGATTAAGGCCAAATTAATCCTTTTTGGGGAAAATAAAAAAAATAAAAAAATGTTTCTGTTTTGTTCTGAGAAAAAAGTCAGAATTCTGACTTTTTTCTCAGATAAAGATGCATTATGTAGGCTGCTATGGAGGGGACTTTGACAGCGAATTACTCAAAAAGTACACAGTAAAAGTACTTAATTTCATTTCTGGTAGCAGTCAAACTACTATCCGTTTTATTAAGAACTTGTGGTAAAAAAACTCTGGAGTATGTTTGTGCCACAAGTCGGACAGAGCTCTGTGACACTTGTGGCTTTCTGGCACCTGGTCACCTCAGCCTGGTCACCTCACCTCATTTTTTTCCCCTGCTTTATTCAATGAGTGATACAAATATTTTTTACCACAGGTTCTTAATAAAACTGACACTGTTGGACTCGGTACTAGTTTGACTGCTACCGGAAATTAAATGAAGTAGGCTACTTTTACTGTGTACTTTTTGAGAAATCCTCTGTCAAAGTCCTCTGCTGAGAACAAAATCAAGCCACTTTTGTTTGACGAGGGAATAATTTTTTGTTGCCATTAGTTCTTCGTGAGATTGATCCTGTTGGACTCAGTACTACTGAAACTAGCCCCACAAGTACTATGAAGTACTTACTGTGTACTCTTCTAGTAATCCTCTTTCAATGTCCCCTCCCGAGTACAAGAATGCATGTTTTTCTTTTAATAAGCGTTAAAAAACCTTTTCTTCCTGAGACTGATATGGTTGGACAGAGTATTTTAAGAGGATGGTAGACATGATATCAGCAATACTTCCAGTCAGTACTCCAGCAGCAGAATTTGTACACCTTGGAAAGTCTTTAGAGTAGGGGTGCAACAACTAATCGACTAAAATCGATGACCAAATTAGTTGCCAACTAATTCATTTGTCGATTCGTTGGTGACGTCATCACGTGTGTTTTACGCGCCGTTAAGCTCCAACATAGTCGGTCTTTTTATCGGTACTGGAGACATTTAAAACATATGTCATGTGTATTATTGTTACAAAAACATTATATCGCAGTCTTAGTGTCGCCAACTCTGTTTCTAATATGCAATAAGACTACAAAATGCATCTGATGTATTTTCGATCTTTCCAATCCAGACGAGAGATCTCTCTCCCCTGTCTGTGTGCGAGGGGGTGGGGCAGTTTACACAGACGCGGCTGCTACATGCAGCAACACACACACACACATGGCGGAGGTGGCGGAGAGAAGCGCTCCAAGGTGATACCCGTCTCTATGTTGACAATGCTCGTTGCCAAAAGTGCAATAAGAGTTTAGCATGTAAGGGCGGTAACACGAGCAATTTGTCTAAACATTTAGCAAAAGTGCACCACATTCAGACGGAGGAATGCACCGGGTTCGACTGTGTTTCTAGCAGCTCTGTAGCCCCATCCAAGAGTAACGTTTCCACGTCAGGTGTTATGTATGCTAGCAGCAACACACAGAGTTAACTACATTATACAAACATGGGTTAATGATTAGAGGTAACTGAGTTATTTATTTTGTTAAAGTTTCAGCTATTCTGTTTACAGTTCTGTCATCACATTATTTAATAACATTGTTAAAACATTCTTGTTTCTTTTGATTTGGAAATATTATTAATTTAATTTGAATAAAAAGCAATGTAATTTTGTCACAATTTTGTTTGTTAATTTGCCTTGTTTTTTTTTTCAAAAGAACGGTTAAGAGTACAGTTAAGGACCAGATCATAAGCGGTATCGATAAAAGTGAGATAGTGCGTTTAAAACCTTAACGATACCCATCCCTACCTTGACCAATGTGAAAAATGTTATCTTTTTATCTGATCTGATCTGTATCCTGGTTTAAATCTTGATGACAATTTTTATTTATCTTTCAGCAGAAAGTTTTAATAAATATGTATTTATTGAATCAAGTATTTATCTTTATTGTCTTCCATTGTTAGGTTTCCACATTGCCTAAACACAACCTCAAACTAATCTAAAAGTTGATGGCTAAATAAGAGCGTTTGCAGAAAATTGTACAAAGGGCATAATCCTAATTTTTTAAAATCGATTAATCGTTTCATTAACTCGATAGATAATCGATTATAACATTAGTTGTTTGTTGCAGCCCCTAGTTGAACGTGTGTCTCTTTCCTTGGAGGGAGCAGCATCGCCCGGACCGGCCCCCCAGAGGAAGCCACGCAGTGGGCGGCGCCGCTGACCTGCCTCCGCGGCTCGTCCGTGCAGAAAGTCTGCACTGCAGCGGTAATGTGTGTTCAGCGACGTGCAGTCAGGGAGGCACGCCTCTCCGCGCCAGTCGGGAGGTCGGGACTTAGAACACAACGCTAATCTTAGTGCCTCCAGGCTGCAGCCCAATACTTTGTACATACACGGATAATGAATCTAGAGTATTGATCTGACTCATTTAATGGAAATAAGAACGATTTCCCAAGCTTTTTTCTTAAAAAGTCCTTCATTCTCTGAGCTCACTGCATACACAGCCACATCCTGTGATTTTTATTAATAAACAACTACAAACAAGAGTAAAGCACATGGGGGCTTGTGACACATGTTCTGCTCGTGATTGTGAAGAACAAAGACTTTGAGGATGAGGTGCATTGCAGTAGAGAGGGGGGGAGAACGACATGGGAGAGAGTACTTTGCGACGGAGTGACTTACAGCAGGTCGTTTTGTTTAATGGCTGAGAAGGATCATGATCTATTGTCCACTTCGTCCCTGCCATAATGGTGAGACTGCCTGCAGACTGCGACTGGGCAGGACTCATAACAAAGGAAATAAACATCCTATACGCGTTAAAGCGCGAATTCTCACGAATACAAGACCAATTTTGTGAACTCGTAAGAGGCAGCTGCTTTATAAAAGGCACACACACACACACCACACACACACACCACACCACACACACAACACACCACACCACACACACAACACACACACACCACACACACACACACACACCACACACACACACACACCACACACCACCACACACACACACCACACCACACACAGTTTGACATAAAATGAAGGTTCTGTCTAACTGGATCGTTGTCA